CCTAATAAACGCACGTATATTGGCCTACTGTTTTATTGATACTCACCTAAGAAAGTACATCATACATACTTTGGACAGCAAGTGCACATTGGTGACCCCGACGTGATCAGCATCTCCGTGATCACAACCTCAAGATATTTTTATAAATCAGAAGAACTACACTACGATGTCGCAGCAAGATAGTACAATGAAACCTGGTACAAGCGGAGCAGCAGAGATCGCAGTCGTTAGTGTTTCGTCGCGGATACCCGAATTTTGGGTTGATCAGCCGAGGCTTTGGTTTATCCAGTGCGAAGCGGTCCTGGCACCCCAGAAAATGAGTGACGAAGCGAGATACAACATGGTAGTCACAAAATTAGGAAAAGATGTCATCCAGCAGGTCAGTGATATACTCCTGAAACCTCCCGAGGCTAAGAAATTCGACACGTTGAAGGAACGCTTATTTAAAGTGTACGAAGAATCTGAAATCCGCCAATTTCAAAAACTATTAAGTGAGATGGAGTTAGGGGATCAGAAGCCTTCGCAACTCCTCAGGAGAATGAGAGAGCTCGCGCGTGAGAAGATACCAGATGAAACACTGCGAATAATGTGGCAAGGACATCTGCCTACGTCCGTACGAAGTGTATTAGCTGTAAGCGAAGTAAAAGATCTAGAGCATTTAGCAGCAATCGCTGACAAGGTTGTCGAGACTGCGCGGCCCTTACAAGTAAATGAAGTACAAGCCTCTCAAAGTTACAATGCTAACACCGATAGTGCATTAATTTTGGCGGAAATAGCAAAATTAAGCTTGAAAATCAGGAGCTTGGAAAAGGAGAGGAGTTATGGACGAAATAGACACAATCGTCAAAATAGGTTCCGGTCGCGATCGAGTTCCCGTGGACGTAATACGACACGTCGTTCATACGATAGTCCAGACTGGCTGTGTGTTTATCATTTTAAATACCGCCATAGAGCTAGGAAATGTGTAGAACCGTGCGCGTGGCCAAAGATGGAAAAGCAGGAAAACTAACCCAGGTGCAGTCGCAGGTGGAGATTTGCACCATAGCTCCTGTTCCCCGATTGTGTATTACGGATGACAGCAGCGGACTTCGGTTTTTGGTTGACACCGGAGCAAACATTTCAGTTCTACCGGTAAATAAAAATCGTGTCTCCAGTGAAAAATGTGAGGACTATAAACTATACGCAGCGAACGGGAGTGAAATTAAGACTTATGGTGTTAAGACATTAGAACTAGATTTTAGATTACGACGACCATTTCGTTGGACATTTGTGGTGGCGGAAGTCAAGCAGCCTATACTTGGTGCTGATTTCTTAGCCCATTATAAACTATTAGTGGACGTCAACAATAAAAAGCTCATTGACTCAGTGACTTGTCTAAAAACTATTGCGTCTGTGACTATGCAAAGTGAGTCATCAATCAGAACAATTGACTGTAAAAATATATATAGCGATATGTTAAGCGAGTTTCCAAATGTAACGAAACCAATTAATTTTAAGGAAGCTCCCTGCCATGAGATAACTCATTGTATAGAGACATCGGGACAACCAGTATTTGCCCGTCCGCGACCATTGCCGCCAGACAAATACTTCAAGGTGAAGGCCGAGTTTCAACGCATGCAAGAGATGGGGATATGCAGGCCCTCCAAAAGTAATTGGGCAAGCCCTCTTCATGTAGTTGCGAAAAAGAATGGCGAACTAAGACCCTGTGGTGATTATAGAGCATTGAACGCAA